CCTTCCTATTGAAGATGCATCTTAATCATTTACAGCAGTCTCCTGAGGCTTAATTTAGTGTTGGTTGCCAAGTACTTTTTAATTCTAGAACAGACTCGCTTATTACTCACTTTTCTTTTTGATTTGTTATGATTATTGCCCAACAAGTAAGTAATCCTGAAGATAACTTGGTTGTCATTCATACTTTATAGATGAGGAAATTCAGTGCCCTGCAACATGTAGAAGAACGTGTAGGAAGACAAGTCTGATTTGCTCAAGTCTGATTTAGAATTTGGGACTTTATGTTTCCCATTTCTTTGTTCAGACTATAAAGCCTAAATCAGTCACTAAAGAATATCTTTGCAGCAGTCTGAACAAAGCTTTAAAAAAAAAAAAGAAAATTGAAAAAAGCTTTCTACAGGTGAAATAGCTTTTCTAGAGTTAAAATGTAGGATTTTGTCCCCTTGCTAGCAGATTTTCTTGTCCATTTTCAATTGATTTTTGTTGTTTATTTAGTTCATCTAACTGTCTTTTGCTAAAGGTAAATTAAGAACTACTGAAAAAGAGAGCAGATTTTGTACCTCCTGTCTATTTCTATAAAATACTTGAGGAATGACATTTTCTTTTATAAACCTCAGCTCCCAGCAGAGCCTATCAGGTAATTTCCTGCTTCAAAGGCCACTTAGTTCATGTGGAATAACTTTCCACATAGTGAAGATTTAAAAAACTTTTCTTGCCTACAGATATGTATAACTCACAGCCTAGGATCTGCTTTGTAGATTGATATAACCTTCAAGGAGTCTGTTTACAAGTACCTCTCTCAAAAAAACATCAGCCTATAACACGCTGTATTATCACCAGGGAAATGTCAGCCCCTGTAAATAATTCTTCCTCTTGCTTGGGTGATACAGTTAAGTACTTCCATGAGAAAATTAAGACATTCAGTAGATGCAGTTCTACAGAGATTTCCTTTAATTCCTCACATTATCTTTGTAATTATATTGGTGTTCATATATTTCAAAAATAACATCAACTTAATGTTTAATGACAGCAGTTTGCTTCTCATCCAATAAAGAAAGATGGCAGTCTATTTAAAGGTATCCCACTTGCTGTGTTGCCTGTGATTCCATTTCGAAAATGAGCTTTTTTAGACTTGACTTTTAAAAAATGTCAGCTATACTATTTTTAGAAAATAATTTGGAAGAGTGATATGTGCGTTGGAAGTTTTTTGCAACATCAAAACAAATAACCCTGGTAAAGGCAAAGTACGACCAAAAGGTAGTGGCAGCTTTCTGCTGGATTGAATTTCACATGCAATGTTACTTCTGAGGCCTACCTCCAAAAATCAATTTTGCTGCAGTTAGACTTTTCCTCTAGATCAGACATTTGTCACAGTTCAGTATCCATCCATCTTCTGCCTCTTTGGCCTTGTGAAGGTAACAAATGGAATTCTGTTTGGCTGCGTCTGGAAAAGATGAGCAGCGATTTGGGTTCTTTCATATCTGTAAGAAGAAGCTGAGCACTGGAATAATTGACCTGTCAAGAAGCAGGCAAGGTGTTCTCTAGAAGCCAGCAGCAAGGGAAATGAGAAAACGGTTTTAAAAATGTTATTTTTCAATGTGGTCTATTTAATAACTGCAGCAGTGTCAGACAAGTGGCTTAATTTATATCATGGTGCCAGCTTACAGAGTGATATTATCAGAGAGAGGAAGCAGAACTGTTATATACATATATGTGTATACACATACGAAAAGGAGCTAAACAAAATATTTTATGTTAGAATTTTCATTATTTCTTTCACACTTGCTGTAAAGATAGATGATTTTTTTTTTTTTTCAATTACATCCACTGTTTTAAATCTCTTTTGGAATAACTTTGTGGAGTAGTATTTATTCTGCATATTGTTTGTCACCACAAAAATATGATAGTTTGTAATGGAAGTCTCCTTAGTTTTTATCAGCTGCTGTCTGTCAATTCCTTCTTGCCTTAGTGCAGCTCTTAAAATAATATTTTCAGCTGCATTCGTCAGCTGCAATTTTAATTTTGCTTCAAACTTAACATATATCCTCCAAAAAAAAAAAAAAAAAAAGACACACACTGGTAGAATATTAACTAGAATATTCATGCAGTTTAAATGCAAAGACAAATGAATACACTATGTTTTTCTTTAAATTAGAGTACGGTATTCATTTCACATTTCTTTAGCATTTACTCTCCTCTCTCTCTCTCTCTCTCTGTGTTTCCAGGTATGTGTATATAAGAAATTATATTTCTGAATTCCCTTTGTGTTTGAGGATGAAAGTAAATGCATTTCAGCAAGTTGTTCCATTGTACCTAAAACCAAAAATGAGTTATACAGTGTTAAGCTTTGCCATTTTTATGATTATTATTTTCAAGTAAAATGTTGTTCTAATTAATATCACACACATATTTACTCATGGTTTTATTGTTATTGAATAACTTGAAGACTTTTAAAATGCTAATTTTTTTACTGTGTGGCAAATTATTTCACTTGCCATAAAATACACAATGCAACTATTAACTTCACCAATCTTATGCTTCGCACAATTGCAAGGAGTAGCCCAAGGCCACCTTTCCGTGCTTCACTTGAGCTGGCTAAGAGTCAAATTGCCCACAATAGAGCTCCATTTCTCCCCTCCAGTACACTGTTTCTCTGCATCATTCAAGGTCACAAGGACTCTACCAAGCACTATTTGCTTTGCAGCTGAACCAGCATCTTGAAAATGTAATTGTCAAAATGTGCAGCTTCACAGGACAGTAATACATGTATCATTTTTCCTCTAAAATATCTTTTTCTGATGTAATCTTGTACGGTCCCTTGTCCCCACCTCTGATACCCTAATTTTAAGTTGCATGGTTCCTGCAACAGGCTACTCCAGCTCTTCAGGGTTATCATGGAAAGGATTTGAGCTCAGCTTCTTAAGCCTCTGCCAGGTCAAGTGCTGAGGAACATCCGAAGCGGGAACGTAGCCAGTCTCAAAGAGGCCATGGGGAACAATAAGGAAATCTGGGTTGACTCAGGAAACTTGCATACTCCTGGTATCTGTGGCTGTGTTTAGTTGTGTTAAAGCTGCCAGACTTTTAATACAAAGATGACAGTGGCTCTTCACTTTTCCGAGAAACGTGGTCCAAAGATGTTCATGCAGTGAGGAATATCTGTTAAAGATAAGACTAAAGTCCTGTTGCCATAGACCTTAGCAGTGAAGGAGACCACTCTGGATAGGAATACTCTAGACCAGGGGACTGGAGTCAGGGAGCTGTGACACGCAACGCGAGATGCCCAAAACCAGAGAGCTATCTAGATTCTTAATCGGGGCAGAAGGGAGTGATAATATTTTAGGTTCTGGTGTGAGGTCTACTCTAAGTCTTCAAAATAAGCTTCCGTATTGCATAATAAATATTTTAAGATCATATTAAAGGTGATAACAAATATGTGGAAGGAAAATTCCGTAAGGAGTTATTAAACACAAAGACAATGCCCTGGAACAGAAAGTGTCTAAGTAGCAGACTTCTGTGAATTGGAAAATTGTCCTGGAGAGGTATCACTACATGCTCACGTTATTAGTTCACACTTTCCTGGCCTCTTTCTATTAGTTTTGTTGAAGACTGCATAGATGGACTGGGATAAATGGACTAGATGGATCCTAGGACCAGTTCAGTGCAGCTGTTATCAATAAGTGTTTTCCCCAGGGACTATACCTTAATATAATACCTCGACTTTGGTGACTTTGCTTGCCACTGTGGTGGAATTTCAACACGTGCCTAGAAGTAAGGGAGGGGAGAGGGGGACCACAAGAAGTTATAAGTGACTGAGGAGGGACATGCCACAGCCCTCTGACGTGGCAGCTATAGCTATGATGGGAGAGCCCCTGCGTGGAGATGGAGCAGATGCTCACAGAGGGGACTTTTCCGTAGCGGAGCTGCTGTGCCACTTCCCAAACAACTTGTCCTGAGCCAACAAAAGCACCCTGCTGCTGGTGTAGCTGCAAGAGGGGCTTTGCCAGCATAGCTCTGATCACGAACAGCTACGATTTTTTTACTTCTAGCCAGTGTAGCAGGGCTGGCAAGCAATTGTCTTGTAGATATGGCCTTGATATGCAGTGCCCAGTCAAACAGCTGTGAATGGTTGAACTGAACAGGACTCTGAAGAGAAAGCAATTTGCCTAGGGAAAAGAGGACATAAGTATATATCTGACCTAACTTAGCACCTCCCTTATTCACTGGCATTTGGTGTAAAGCCCTGAACATTTTAACCCTTTTCCACCTCGGAGTTGCAAGGTTTTATGTTTAAAACTCTTAAGTTAATGGCTTCCTGGAGAACAAATAGGACACAAAAAAAAAATCCTTACATGTCTGCTGCTCTCATTATTATTAGACAGTGTGAGGAAAGAAGAGTCAAAACACTTTTCAGGCCAGGTGAAGCAGCTTCACATTATGACTTAGTTGATGTATCCATAGCTATCCATACATATTATGGAAAACAGATGCAAGCATGAGAATAATGCCAATGCAAACTTAAGAAATGCTAAATATAAATAAAGGAGGAGTGATTTGTATTGATTCTCCATTGCCACAAATTCCACATTGTCATTCAGCGCTATGCTTCTCTTCAGAAAGGCATTTTTCAAAATTGTCAGTGCCTAACAAAATGTGCATACCTAGGCCTGCAGGGAGTGTGAACTTTGTATACTGTCTGCTTGCTCTTACACTGTTTCAGCAAAATTTGTGCTCTAGCAAATGGATTAATGTCTTGCTTCTCTTTGTCCCCTCTCCTTGGTGTAGCTCCAAGTGCCCCTCCTCAGTCTGTTACTGTCCTGACAGTTGGAAACCACAACAGCACAAGCATCAGCATCTCCTGGGATCCTCCCCCTCCAGATCACCAAAATGGAGTCATCCAGGAGTATAAGGTAGAACCCATATCTAATGGGAGGGTTGTGTGTTTAAGGGCAACAGCCTGCTTGAATTACAGAACAACAGTGCTGTTTATGGATTTAGATTCTGAGACCATTTACAGCTGCCCGTATAATTATACGGAGAAAGAGGACTGACTGCTTATGGATTTTTTTTTTTTCAGCAGTACTACTGTTATATTAAAAGCAGAAATACCATGAGCTAGATCTGGGAGAGCGCTGTAATTGCCAGCTTCTCTTTCTGGCTTTTCTCTGCTGTGGAACAAGAAGGTTTTTTCTTGTTGAGGGCTTCTGCACTCTCAAGACAGGCGGTGACATCCCTGTCTTAGAATGCCTTCAATCTGGCAGAAAACCTGACAGGAAAAATACCTCTTCTTTCCCCAGCAAAAATGCTAATCCTAACACTTCAAGGTCAAAGTCAAGGACTGTGGCTCTGGGAGAATACAAGACTTCTTCCAAGTACCATCTCTGTCAAGATTCACAACTTAAAGTGCTAGGTTGTTTGCTCTGAGGAACAGGGTGAACACCACTACTATATCCAGAGTTTGTTATATGAGAGTTGTCTGCACTGGTTGCATTTTCTCCTTCTTTGTTGCTGTGATGGCTCAAAGTATCCGCTCCTTATATATCATCTTAAATTTTGTTGTAGTCTACAATTCCCCACTAAGCTCCCTTTTGCACAAGTATATTTTCACAACATGGAAAAAGTGCAGCGTGTTATTGAGATGAAGGACTACGGACAAAATGACTAGGCAAGGTTCAGCATTGTCACAGGCTTGTGGTCATGGAACACACTGTTTGTTAAATAAATTTGCTGTGGCTGCCTTGTATACCTAGTGTGAAATTTTTAATCGAAATAGAGCAGGGCAGCTTTCTTGACAGTCCCACAAAGGGCAGAAGTGGTGGATGCAGCTTATTTCACACATAAAGATGTAATTTTTTTCCCTGCTGTATCTTGAGTGAACACAGCATCAAGAAGGGAGAAAGTGCTTGGCTTTTAAATCAACTAATGGTTCAACCTCTTCCAGCTTATCACTTGGTCAGAGGGATGCAGTAAATGCTCACAATATTTATGTTTAGCATAGCACTTCTTTTGTTTTGCTTTTAGTCAATATCAAGATTTATTAATCCCAGTATTTTATTGATCTCATTTTCATATCAATTAATAATTATCTTCTGGCTTAATTAATCTTGATACTGACTCCAGTATAAGTCAATATTAACCATGAAGGGCTTATAGGCAAATAAGTAAAGCACACTCCTAAACCACAAAATATGTAGATATGAAACAAAGTGGGCTGGTGGTTAATAAAGCCCATGTTCCAGGTGAGTGCTCAGACCTCTATCTAGGCTGTTTATAAAAACAGCTGGAGTCACTACCTATTACATCCCTTCTGTGTTAGATTAGGTGGCTGTCTGATTAGTGAGCTGGCTTCAGTGAATGTAGTGCAGAGAGTCTTAATATTTCCTTGAGTAGAAAATAACTGCTGAGGTTTCACAGTACATTTTCTAACAAATGGAATGTAGATCTGTTGATTCCACTTCAAGCATCAGAGTGCCTGTAAATTCATTTATGAATTAAATGCCTTTAATTAGGGGCATCTCATAGCTGCTGTCACCTAAGACCAGGACAGACAAGGAGTGAAACAATGAATGCAATAGTTTCTCACCCTAATGCATTCTGGCCTGCAAATAAGATCTACTTGAGCTTAGGAGAACAAGGGTTTCTTTTGCCCTCCAGATCTTCCTCAGTGTTTCACAGAAAAAAGGTAAGGTGTGATAAAACACTAGCAGGGTCAAAAATAAGCATAAGGAGAGCATTGCTGTTGCTTAGACACATCAGTTGGTTGCTGATAGTGGTTCCACCAATAGTACTTGCTTCTGCTATTGTAACTATGTAGTATACATGTGATATCTTTATGCATTGATTTTCTTGAGTGGTAGTCTTTAATAATACAGAAGCAGTATATGCAGATAACATTAACTGAAGAAGAATTCCTAAAAGGTCTTAGTTTTGAAAATTCTTGGGAAAAGCCTATGGAAAAATGCAAGAGGGAGATATAACACTGAAATCATAGACCGTTCCCATCATAAAATTCCAGTTGAGATTATAGAGTGTTCTTTCTGCTTAATTAGAGAGTAATTGAGTCAGGAACTGATATCTGGATTCCTGAACAACGTAAGTCATCACAAAAGCATCAGTAAAAAGTGAGTTTGTACTTATCCCATTTCAGAAATTTCACATATCCCTGTTGTGCAGTGAAAGGAAGTTGAAAAGAATTTTGAAAATTGTTTCTTCTTTAGTACTTTAAAGAGTGTTTCAACCTGTGCTTGTATTATTTGGTGTCCTTTTGCTATTCAGTGGGAAATTAAGAATGAAAAAAATGTAGGTTTTTTTAGGAAAGGTTTGGTGGTAATCATACTACTAAACAAGATTTCAATGAATATATAACCTTCTTTCTCACTTGGATGAGTCTGGTCTGTGCTTCTAAGAAGTGTAACCACAGAATTTGCACTCCATGGAGAGCCAGAGTCCAGAGAGGTGTTTTCAAGCAGTCTTTGCAGCTGGCCTGGTCCTATGTTGATCTGGGATAGCTTGCTGAGCTAAATCATCCCTGGACAGTAACGTTGTTAAGAAGTCCAAAATAAGTGATTGTCATGCAATACCTTGATATGTCATATCTATGTGCGATTGTTTATGAGTATGAAGAATTTCGTATTTTTTAACACATCAACTTTTGTCCCAGATCTGGTGCCTAGGTAATGAGACTCGATTTCATATCAACAAAACAGTAGATGCAGCCATTCGGTCTGTAGTAATAGGTGGCCTATATCCAGGTATTCAGTACCGCGTGGAAGTTGCTGCAAGCACCAGTGCAGGTGTGGGAGTAAAAAGTGAGCCACAACCCATAATAATTGGTAAGTGATTGTCTGTTTTGTTGTCTTGTTTTGCTTGTTTCGACTTTCAGAAATGCTTTCATAAATCACTTCTGGAAGCATAAAAATCCATGGAGCAAAAGACGGGATTTGAATAGAGCTAGTTAGTTAGCTTTTAACATCCCACTGCGTGCTGACATTGTATCTTCTCTTTGTGCAGAGTTTTCACAGCCAATGGAGGGAAATATGTTCCCGAGACATGTGAGAAAATGCAGATTATCTAGTGAAACTGATTTAATTTTTTTTTTAATGAATTTACCACTTCTGCAGGCTGACGGATTTATGGAACTGACAGCTCGAGCTCCCCTTTCCTCCTGTTCAGATGACTGTAATATTGCCTTACTCATACAGTTGGTGCCTAAGGCATATTTACAGTTGGTTTTCTGAACATTTGAAGACAGTGTTTCTCAGGTATCTCAAGCAGATGAGCTTCCTCTGTCAAAGAATAAGTGGCCTCTAGTCCAAATAGAGAGCAAAGGTAGTATTATCATCCCTGCCTTTGAAATGACTGTTTCTTAGTAGTGGTTTCCATGCTGAATTAACTTCCTGACCTGAGGGAAACAGAGGTTCTGTTTCTTCTGAAATTCTTCTCAAGTATAAAATATAAAGGCAGGAGCAATATGGGAAGGGTAAGAATAGGAGAAGTAACCATATTTAGCAAAACTGAACGGAGCTGTGAAGGGCAGCACCTCTTTTGAGTGCGTTTTACAGGAACTTTGTTGCTTTTAGCTGTATGATCTAATTTAGTTATCACTTAAATGGGCTTTTGTTTGTTTGTGGGTCTTTTCTTGTTATCAAATATTTTCTTTCTAGAAAATGTTGTTGACACAATGTCCCAAACATGGACTATTCTGTTAGTGTAGACCTTTAGAAAAGGCTGTCCCCTAAGCATTGCTTAAATGTTTAATGATATTCAGGTTTCCTATGCATCAAAACAGAACTTTGGATTACATCAGCTTTGAATATATTGTCACGGGAGAAGGAAATATAAGAGTGGAGGTGAAGGTAGCACTGGTTTTAGAAAAATGCAGCCACAGAAACGCCAAAGAAAAGAGGGGAAAAAAGTTTTCTAGAACTGACAGCAAGAAATTGATTTTTGAAAATGCAAGAAACCTGCCATCTAATAGGCCTGAATTTTGGACCTCTGTGTCAATAATTGATGTTGTGAGACTAGTCTGTCCTTGCGTTCACTTTGAGCAGGACTTCTTATTGCACTAGCGAGTCCATCTAGCTGGGCACTAAACACACTGGGCTTGTTCCAGCAAAACACTTAAGTGTGTTGCATTTTAAGCAAGTGAGTAGCCTTGTGTCACTTAACATGTTGTGAGTTAAACTTGCACAAAAGTGCTTTGCTGGATGATTCCCAGAATGCTTAGCCCTGCATCTGCGTACAGCCCTTCATCCTGACTTTTCCTTACAAAAAATGACTAGTAAAATCAAGAGTTAAATGTGGAGAGTTCTGTATTGTTGCAGGAAGGAGGAAAGGGATGTTAGGATGCAAATAAAGTACAAAAGAAAGAAAGAAGTTATTTGGTATTTAGAGACTTAGTTTTGCATTGTTAAATTTACAGTGATACTTATTTGTTCCTTAAATGATCCCAGAATGTCTGCTTCAACAACTCTGGTGGCATCTTTGCACATTTAAGAGTCCTTTGCATGAAACGTAAGGGTGACTCTTTTCTGTTGTGTTTCTGTTCTCGTTTCTGTTTTCCCCTTCGGGAGCCCAAAGCTGGATGTGGTTATTACTTGTATGGTCTGGATCTCCCTTTCCTTTAGGTCCCATTTTTCTATTTCTTATGAATTGCTGGCAGTTCTTTCTCAGACAATCAATTTGCTTGATAAAGGTAACAGTGTTTAAGTGATACCATTTCTGGAAAATTTAAGTTGGTACCACTCAATGTTTAACTGAGAATCAAGAACATAAAAGCAAATGAATTTTTTAGGTAAATTTAAAAAAAAAAAATACATGGATTAAAAATGAGTTAATGAATAAACCTCAAAACATCATCATGAGTGGGAAAACATTATTGAGTGATTGTATTATAATGGAGTCCTGTATGGCCTGGTGCTTACTTATACTATTTAACAGCTTGCAAACAGAATGAACAACTGCAGAAATGCTGAATTATGGAGAGAGCAGGTCAGTGATGCAGAAGAGTTAAGCCATGTTGCTAAACAGTACAACTTCCATTGTCATGGCATACGGAGTCCTGTGTATAAAAAGAAAGATGTTATTCTTAAATATAGGATATGTTCTTCTAAGAAGTTGTTTTTTTCTGAAAATAACTGATTTTAACAGTGGATAATCAACTACTGACTTCCCAGACCAGTTCTAGATAACAGACCCATGACAATCCAGAAAGTAAAACCAGGAGAATATGGAGCGGTAGGAAGTATAGTATTTCTTTAGTTAGAAATTGTGTCACTGTTAGAGGAGTCCTGTGCCCATACTTCAAGCAGGACATTGAAAAATTTTATGGAAGACTCAAAGAGAATCAAGAATAAAATTTTCATGATCACTATTGATATGCTGAAAAACTTCACTTGGAAAATGAGAAATAAAATTGGAGATAACAGCAATGTTGGTGAATGGTGTAGCTATTATTTCTCTTCATCAGTTGGCCTGTTCACTCTTACATTCTATCATTGGCATAATAATATGAGGAACAGCTGCAAACTTTCACAGTAATAGGTACAATCGAATCTGATGTGTCTAATTAATTTTTGGTCCGACAAATTAGTTTTGTTCTTCATTACTCTCCAATGGGAGGAAGACATTATATTTCATTATGTTTTTGTCTTCAGGAACAATGGAGCGTTACAGGTCGCATACTTCCCTTGTCTATGTTCTAATTAGTTGAACTGACAGCATTGTTACAGAAACACCTGCAGTATATGAAATAGTACGTGTACCTTGGATGACATATTTATTCCTTCTGCTTAAATATTATATAAAGAAATACAAAATTAATGCCGTTTGTTTCCCCAAACCCCAATGATTATATTAATTTTATCAAACATCAGTGGGTAACATTCATCTGTATCCATTTATTTTTCAGTCATCGAATTCACAAAGCATATGTTATTCTGACGTTCAAATGAATTATTACTTTTGCAGTTGTAATTGCTAGGCACTGAAGGGTAAGAGCAAACAGCCAGACTGCAGACTTTAGAAGGTAATTTGGAGACAGATTGCACCTTCCCCTAGAAGAGAGGGAGAGCGTAATGTCCACTGAAAGCTCTCCCCAGGATCTCTGCAGTTTGCTCTCACATCCTTCATTCTCAAAAGACTGGTTTCTGACCTTAGAGAAGAAAACAGGATCTTCAGACTTTTTGGAGGCTTTAGCGGGAAGCAGTTGTTCTTTTCTTGAGCCCAGGAGCTTCTGCTCCCAAAGCCAGTGTCTCTGAAGCGCTTCCCTGCCTGCTCTTCTCCACGGCAGCACGGCTGCCTCCGAAGCAGCACTGACACGACCTGTTTCCTCACTGTCCCGCTGCTTTTAGCTCTCCTCCAAAGGGCACAGAAATTAACTGAAAGTTAATGGCAATTAGAGCAACATCTACTCCCATGTTGATTTCTACTAGAAAATCAATTGTGTGCCTGGAAAGGCATGCCGTAGAGTGCCTCCCTCTATTAGTTTTACTCTCAGCACTTCCTCTTTCAGCATTGGGGTGCACCTATGGATTGGTTCCGTGGGCAGAGAAAAAGGGGAAAATCCAATAAAGGAGCCACCACTGCCTCCCTTCTTTTCCTTGTCACAGGTGCTCAATGAGTTTTATTCTCTTACTGCGTCAGGACTGGAAACCATCAGGCCTTTGGCAGTGGCAAGACAAAATAGGAAATGATGGGAAAGGACAGCTGCAGCTACCCGGCCCTGATGCTAGTAAAGCTTACCAGCATGGCCAGTATAGACTGGCACATGATGCCAGTACTGGTGTACTGCCTTTTTGTACATCAGCAGGCATAGGCTGTCAGCATCCTTCTGTGGGACCTATTTTGTTTGCGGGAAGCCTGTTTTGTTTGTTGCACAGAACTACTGAAAGCCAGCCAAGCTCTCGCACAGTTTCAACAGTCTGTTTGCAAAAGCAGACGGTCATCATTACTAAATATTGACATGGTGCTGAAAGACAGAAAGCTTAATAAAATCACCGAGATCATTAACAGTGTGATAGCAACGGAAAGCAGTGCATCGCACGTCTTCCTGAGTAACTCAGTCCGCCTCCGAACACAAATTAGGGCCTGAAGCTGCGCCTTGGCTGGGGCGGCGCT